CAGCTGGACAAAGATGGTAGTCATACTGCTTCCCTCCAGGTAGGCTCCAGCATGCTCCCTCAAGAACTTTCATATGCGCTTTTGCTTCAAACTTCTCAGCCGCCCAACATGGCCTTAACTTGGTCTTTCAGCCTCCTTGCTGTTTATTAAGCCTCAACCCCCTCCCCCCTCTGTTCTAGTTGGCACCCCAAGCAATGGCTACTAAATATATTTCCGACTTAGCAAGAAAATCTGTTGGTCTGGCTGTTTTGATCTGACACCACTCTGACATGGGTTTCTGGGATGTTCTCCCTCCAGGAGCTCGTTGGTGCTCAACCCTGTGCTCAGAACTGTCTGACCATCTCTTGGTCCTCTGTACTCTTCTCTGTCACCCCACGGCTGGTAGATGGAGTGGTTTGGGGCTTACCCAGATCTACTCTCCCTGGCCTCTGATTCTCAACATACACACCTGTGTGGCTACTCATGTTAGCACAGCATTGACTCTCCCTAAAACAGCCATCCACCTGGAGGTGTACTTAGTTTTGAACACCATCGCCACCCAAATGGCTGCTCTGACAGTATGCTTGGGGGCTTCCCATGATGTTTGGCACAAAGTGGCTGGACGCCCTATAAAGCCACCTGTGGTCACCTGGTAGCAGCATGGATTGTGTCTCAGTATGATGTGCACTGGAGGGTTTTTCACTTCATATTTCCAAGTGGAAGGAGTGGCAGGAAGGCAATGCCCAGCAGAGCCAGTCCAAGAGATTTAACAATTGTACTTAGTGTCTTGAGGATGGTCACAGAATTCTCTGTGAGTTTGATACTTGGCAGATGCTCATGCTAGAAACCAAGCCCCCAGACTAAACTCATTGCCCTCGGGTCGACTCATAGTGACCCTATAGGACAGGGTAGAACCCCTGCGAGTTTCTGAGACTGTCACTATTTAGTTAGCTCCAAACAGAATTCCTCCTGACATTAGCTTCCTGGTTCTTTCTGTAGATGACTGCGAATCCCTTAGAAACAAAGGGGCTAGCATTGGTGGCACAACCTGCGGTGGGTAAAAGAAGTCTTTGAGCAAGCCAGAGCAAGTTCTCGGCCAAAGCCAGCTCAGTTTCAATCTCAGTGAATCAAGTTGTAGCCATCGTAATGTCTTTATGAGTCCATGCATTCAAATATCAGCCTTTGGCTGGCTCTCTCTAACTCCACGCATGTTGCTCGCTTGCTTCCTTATTTAAGAAGTCTGTCTCAGAGGTGCACGCTATCCACCAGGAAGGGAATTGCAAAGGAATGGGGGAGGGGAGGGAACAGAGAAGTGGCCCGGCTGGATGGCTTAACTCACCCTTGGGAACAGCATTTTTACTATAAACTGTTTACAGTGGGTTCCCAGCAATGACCAAATAACGTATTCTGTCAGTCCTTTATCAGTCTAAAACTATGTTGAGCAGCTATATGAAAATGTAGATTAGGAGATGTATGTTCTACTTTGTTCTCTCTGCAGGCCACAGTGGTCTCGTGTACCAAAGAAACCATCTAAACTTTACATATTACCTCAAAGGATGAATATATCCCAATGGAGATATGGCCCTAAAGGGAGATAAAGGTTTATCTCCTTTCTGACAGGAGACGGATGCATATGGCTCTGGCTGCAGAATTTCAGAATGCCGGAGCAGACAAGGAGATGCTTTCTCTCCTCAGGGGTCTTTGCCTTTGAAATCACCTCCTCTGAGGACTCCCAGATGGACTCTAATTAGAAGCTATCTCTTGAATTTTCAAACGACAGTGGGTTGTTGCTAAGCTAATTGACTTGTCCTGTTTCTTGGGAGTTCCCTCAGGAGAACGTTTGGTGTAAAGTGAACAGCTAGAAACCAAGAGCTTCCTTATTCCACTTGTGTGTGCCGTGAGCTTTCCTTGATGCCATCACCAGATGAGGACCCGCTTTCCTTTGAAAACGTAAACCAGCCCCACGATGCTCTGAGACGTTACTCCAGTGCCCTGGGATACTGCAGCACGTAATTCGGGAGCTACAGGCACACAGTCTTTTACCCTTTTTCCCACCTATGGGTGTGGCTGGGCATATACACTCATAGGGAGTTCAGCTCATGGGTTACCCAATTTCAAAAGCCTCTTTAAAAAAAAAAACCCAATGGCCAGGCATCTATATTTCCCTGTTATTAAATATTCTTCTCTAATACTATTTTTAATATTATATTTTTTCCTATGACTAGATCAAGATTCATTCAACGAAGTCCCTATGGCTATACAATGGGCTCAAACATACCCAGTATGAGGCTGGCATGGGAGCGGACAGTATTCTGCTCTGTGGTCCACAAGGTCTCTATGAGTTGGAACCAACTGACGGGACCTAACAGCGACCATATTTCTTAAGCGCTTACCACACATCAGGGACTGTTTACATGTATTTATACATTTAATCCTCGTGTCAAAGCTTGGAGATAGCTCCTGTGATCACCGAGGCATGGGAATTAGTAACTTATCCAGGGTCACCCAGCTAGTCAATAAGTAGCAGAGCTAGGGTTCCAATCCAGGCAGTTTGGCTTCACAGTCCATGTCATGGAAGACCAAAGTACACTGTGATCACTTGCAGAATTGTGGAAGACGATATAGCAGAATATCATTCGAAATATTTGGTTAAAAGGAAAGGGAAAAAATGGCTCCACTCAGCCTCTTAGACGAAGAGAATCGCTGTGTATCAAAATGTCTAGTCGTTAACCCTCCTCTCTTTCCTCTCACAGCAATATACAACTCTTGGAAGCATCATGCCCAGACCTATGTTTTCCTCTCAGGGAAAATACAGATGAAAAATCTTAGCATGAACTCGTGGGCCCCAACTCCATGGAACCAATGAGCCTTAACTTAAAGTAACTTGAAAGGTCTTCCTGCGTTATCACTGGAGGGGCACCCTTTCCAAACTTTACAGAAATCAGTGTGCCCTGAGTCCTACACCCTTATTGGGTAAGAGCATTGTGATTCACTGTCTAAAGCCTTTTCTTATCATCTTCCTTCAGTTGTTGCTGTTGTTCTTAGTTGCCTTCCAGTTGCATCCCCTTATGGAAAACTGCCCCAGAGAGGTTTGCAAGGCGGCGACCCATCAGAAGCTGATGGCCGGGTCTGTCCCTCGGGTGCTTCTGCATGGATTCAAATCTGGGCTAAGAATCCAGCATTTGAAAACTCTTTGCACTCCCCAAGGACCAGGTAGACACTACTGGAAAAGATGCAGATTATGACAAAAGGTGACATTTATATATCATTCCTATAAAAATGCAAAATTCTTCTATCCCACCCCCCACCTTTTCCCCCAAATCCCAACTTTATGGGCCACAAAAACTTGAATGGGAAAATACTTTGAGCATTTTTTAATACAGCAAATGCCTCATTAAAAGCAAATGCTAAAAAATTAGAAGATGTTTCAGCAAACAGATTGGAACTTAATGAGAACATGTGTTATGTCTGGGCCTCAATGACATGCCACGGACATGTAAACTGCTCTCTATAAAGAACTCGAAATCTTCATCAACTCTTACAACGTTCTTATCTTTGGGCTGTCCACGTTCCAACAATAAAGTGATTGCAACATGGCATTGGATAAATATTTCTAGATTGGTACAGAAGAACCTGGTACCTACCATCCAGCTACAAGTCAAAAAAAAGGTACTATGAGGGGGCTTCAAAAGAGTTGTTGAAAAATGCCATTATCTTTTCATTCCATTCTTCCACAAACCTTTTAAAGCCTCTTCCTATATTATCCAATATCTCCAATGCTTTATCTGGGTGCGGTGTATCATGTCAGTTTATTTAGCTGAATTCATCTATGTGACCCAAATGTTTGTTATCTATTTTGCATCTGTAAACGTCATCAGGGTGGTGGGTTGATCATCATACCGATGTCTTTAGACTTTGAGCCTCAACCCAGAAGGACAACAGAGCAGGAGTGCAGACGTTCTGGAAGGAGGTGGGGCCTACTCGGTCACAGAAGCCGTCCATAACTATGTCAACACTGCCCTACTCAGATGCACTAAGTGCTCACCGACCCCTCTGAGGTTCCAGAGGCAAACCAAGGCTGCTGTGTTTGCAGGAACCCTCAGGTGGGCTCTGTTTGATCCCCTTTGAGCCACAATCAAAGGCTCTGGCAGTGGCAGCCACACCACCCAGGCAAGGCTGAACCCACCACGAGGGACAGACAATACCTGGTGACATGACATTTCACTGCAGCACTAGCCCCCTTGATAGAACAGGAAAGTCTGATGGGAGGAGATGGTTCCTTTTCAAATGGAATTTTCTGATATCATTTAAATTCTTTGACCACGGCCTTCAAGAGACTCCCCAGTTTCCCCATACCAAGTCACTCACCCCTATCCATCACTTGAGCTGAACCACTGTGCCACCAGGGCATTTCAAAAATTTGTGGGGAAGTGTACCCTGGGTCCTATACATGTTTAATCCTTAAATTCTTTCGTTTCAAAACCAAACTCATTGCCATCAAGTAGATTCTGACTCCTAGTGACCCTATAGGACAGAGTAGAACGACCCCGTTGGTGTTTTCAAGACTCCAAGTCTTCACAGGAGTAGACAGCCTCATCTTTCTCCCACAGAGCGGCTGGTGGGTTTGAACCACTGACCTTGTGGTTAGCAGCTCAAGGTCACCATGGTTCATTGAACTCTTTCGTTAGGTATTATTATTATAATACCTAACGGAGGGCAAACAAGGGTAAAGTCTGCACTTTAAACCCACGAAGCGCGCTGTAGGACAAAGAAGAGGTAGTCGGCTTCCGTAAAAAGGCCAGCCTTAGAATCCCTATGGGACAGGTCTGCTGTGCCATGGAAAGAGTCACTATGAGTCAGAATAGAGTTAATTTTGTTCCCAGATGTCCATAACATGGCCTCTCAGCTGACTCAGGCTCCCTCCCTGGGAGGAAGGAAACGGCCTCTCAAGACAAACTCACATAACGAGGCAAGAGTTCCTGATAAGCAAGTACGGGCTGCCAGCTGGCCACCGAGCTTACCATTAAGAAGTGACGGTCCTTCGCCTCGCGCCTCCTCTGGCTATGCGCCGGTGGGTAGGCTGGCAGCGGAGGAGCGGCGGCAGAAAGGGGGGCAGCGGCTCTCTGCTCACGGCGATCACTCCGGCTCCGGTGTTCTGGGGGAGGGGTGGCAAAATAATGCAGTGCTATTGAAACATGCTTGTCATTTGGGGAGTCTTAGGAAAAGGCTAAGCACTGGTGAGGCTTCACGACTCTCGCTAAGGTGTTGACCACATCACATTTTAAGAATCGTCCCAAACAACTTTAAACTTCAGGTGAAATTGGACGGATACATTTCAGGTGGATTCATCACACAGTCATTGTCGGGAGGTGACTCACTTCTGCCTCATTTCAAAACAACGTGTAAATAAAAGGAGGAAAGAAAGAGGCAGAGAAGGAGAAAGACAGGAAGAAAGAACAAAACATTCTAGAAGAAACATTCTGGTGGAAGATCTGCTGCCCCCAGCCCCTCCAGAAATGCCCCCCAAGAAGCCGGAGACCAAGGTCCACAGCCATCCAGCTAGAGCTGGCTCGCCCTGGCTCTGAGAGCTGATTGCCGTGCATTCAAGCATTCTGGGAGCCAGTCGTTGAACAGTGATAGTGTGATAGCAGCCACAGTGGAGGTGTTTATACCATAGAAATTGGCAAATGCTATGCATCATGGCATATAGATCTAGATCTAGATTTTCTAGCGAGCTGGTTGATCAACACGCCACTGCAGCTGTCTAATCCCTGTCACACATGATATTCCAAGAACTCTGAAATCCCAAGATCCTAGTCAGGTCCCAGCGACCATGAAAAGGAACTTCAAAAAGTTCATGAGAAATGGAATTAAAAGACAGTAGAATTGCCACACGAACTTGTTGAATCCTCATCGTTGTCTGATTTCAGATGGACCAAAGGTACACTGGGAGCAGCTAGGAGATAATCAGATACGGGAGCAAACGGCCATGACTTCCTCCCAGGAATCATGGAGATCCTGGAAACACATTGGGCTGTGTAGATATCTCCCAGTGAGTCCCAAAGTGCACCTTGCCCGATACACTGGTATCCCAAAGACCACTCACCCCACCTGCCCCAATCCAGCCCAGGCTCATGCTCAGGGCCTGAAATCTCTAGTGACCCCCACCCCCTTGTGATCATAGCACAAATTGGTACAGCGGACCTGCAAATCTGCCCTGTCCTTTAAACTCACTACCACTCAGCAGCACAGCTACAGTAATCATCGGAAGCCGCCATGTATTTTGAGCAATTAGGATGGGCCATCAACTTTCGCTAAAATCTGAAGTGCTTCATCTCAACAGCCCCACAAAGGAGGCACAAATGCAGCCCCTCTTCTGTAGACCCCTAAACAGACTCAGGGAGGGTAGACCACTTGCTGAGCCATCAGTAGCACAGACTTGGCAACAGCATCCTGCTCTGGCCCTGGTTTCGGCCTAGAGGCACTGACACAACTTCTCTTGACACAAGACTGCCTTGGTCAGATACTATTTGATGACAGTCATTTTTTTGTGCTAGGTGTTCCAGCTCATAGAGGACCGATGTTCAACTGAGCACAACACTGTCCAGTTCTGTACCATCCTGTCTTGCAGCCACTGTGTCGATCCACTGGTTCTTCCAGATAACACATGCCAAGTACTTGGGACCGAGTCTAGCTATCCACACTTCTCAGGCTGTCATTCTTCCAAGCCAGTTTGATTTGTTCTTCTGGCAGTCTATAATATATTCAGTCCTCCCCACCCCATAATGCAAAGGCATCCATTCGCATGCATTCTTCCTTCTTCATTGTCCTGCTTTCATGGACATATGTGGTCACCAAAAATATCATGTGTAGAGCCAGAGGATCTTAGACCTCAAAGTAGCATCTTTGCTTTTAAACACTTTAAATCCTTTGCAGCAGATTTTCCCAACGGCATACATCCTGTGATTTCTTGACTGCTGTTTCCATGGGTGTTGTTGATTGTAGAACCAAGTAAAATGAAATCCTGGACAACTTCAGTGTTTTCTCGGTGCTTTATTTTCTCCCCTTTGAATTCTTTGAACACGGCCAATGCACTGTTGCTTATGTATTAACTGGAAGTCAGGCAGCTCATATGACATTACTTTCTTATCTGTGCTAGCAAACAGCTTCACATACTGAGCCTCTTAGGCAAGGTCAGCTGCCCTGATAAAAAGTAACCATCCTTCTATCGGTCTGCCTCTTCTGGGAGACGCTGGCTCCTGGAGGCAAGAGAGGACATCGTATTCAGCTTCTGGTCCCTGTGCCATGCGGTGTGCTCTCAAGAAATGTGTGCTGAGTGCAAGAGGAATGAATGAATGCTTTTGTTAAAGTCTAGTCTTAAAATTGGAATACCCTGTATTTCTAATAGGCTTTGTTGTCCTTGTCTTCCCTGTTTGCTCCTCACCTGGGTGATCACAATGTTGGCCCCTTTCCTCTCTGTTTCGTTCAGTGTGCTGTCCCACAAACTGTCACCAAGTACTCGTGAGCTTTTGGACTACTCGCCATGTATGATTTCACTGTATATGGGCCTCACTGCCTGGCCTTGGCCAACAACTTATGACAAATGCCTTCCATGTCCAAGTGTCATCCTGTGGTCTACCTCCAGGGCCCTCCCCATTTTTTTCTCTGCAAGCAAATGATGGGCTTCCCTAGGTGGGCGGGGTATGCAAAGCTGTTTGTCTGCTTACATACAACAAGAAGAGCAGGGTACCCGTGGCCCTGGTGAGGATGGGGGGAAGGAGAGGAGGAGCTAGAAGGGAGACAGCAGCTCAATTTCCCATTCAATTGCTTCCCTTCCACGTTTTTTAAATACACGAGGAGCTTTAAAACATTCACGGGGAAATAGAATCCCCAAATAATATAATTTTCCCACATATTCTTAAAAGTCCCCTCATAGTTCCCTCTTTGCACTAAACTGGTGGTAGATGGGTGAACTGAACGACTCCCTGGTGATAAAAACAAAACCAAACAAAAAATTTACCGCCATCAAGTTGCTGCAGATTTGTAGTGACCCTACAGCACAGGGTAGAACTACCCCTGTGAGCTTCGTAGACTGTAACTCTTTACGGGAGTAGGAAGCCGCATCTTTCTCTCAGGGAGCGGCTAGTGGTTTAAACTTCGGACCTTAGGGTTAGCAGCTCAACATAACCACTGCACCACCAGGGATCACTGATGAGATATCTTATATTTCTAAGGTTGGTGGCATGAGTGGGTACTTGGTCTACTAGCATATGAGACTGCAGTAGTGCCTTGGTCCTTATTTCCTTGGAGCAAGTTAATTAAAGTTCCAGCCTTGAAACTGAAGAGGAAAGGAAGAAGGCGTAGAACTCTTTCAGTCCCTGAGGACTCACTGTCCTGTGGATCAGTGCTGTGGAAACTGCTACACCCCACATCTGCAATGGAGCCAACTACATTGTCTTACCCACGCACATGGGCCACCACCGAATATAAAGGTATTACTGGCTCGAAGCACTACAGAATTGCTAAGGAAAAGTGGGAAAAGTGGGGTGGGAGAGTGGATTCTAAATAACTTGAAATCCATTTCCATACTACTTCTTCCAGAGAGCCCTCCCTGAAGCACAGGTTTCTTCCCTCTGTGCTTCCCTGGCACAGCACCAGGTGGAAATGACCTCAGTCCTCCGGACTCCTCTGTCTCCCTCACAAGACCAGGGATTCTGTGTGGGAAGGAGCTAGATTTGATTGCTCTTTGAATTACAGGCCCAGCTTTGCCCACAATACTGTTTGTTGAGGGGTGTGCTGTTGAGCAGATCTTGAAGGCAGCCAATTTTTAGGGTCTAATCTCTGCCCCTTGCTCCTTTCCGTGGCTCCTCAACCCTGAAAAGAGCTGTTTCCATCTCCACCCCACACATCTGGGGGTCTGTGCTTCATTATCGTCCCTCTGGGTGAAAGCTAGCATTTCCCAGCTGTTCAGATAGACAGCACACAGGGACCCTCATTGTGGCATTAGTTGAACAAGGCTGTTGAGTGAAAAGCCAAACAAATAAACAAAACCCAAACCCTTGGCCATCAAGTTGACTCATCGTGACTCTCTAGGATAGAGTAGAACTGTCCCATAGGATTTCCATGGCTATCCTTATTCTGGGAGAGGAGCCCCCCTCATCGTTCTCCCACCCAATGGTTGCTGGGTTCTATTCTCAACCTTCTAGTTAGCAGCCAAGCTCTGTTAACCACTCCACCACCATGACTCTTTCAAAAAGCAACACACACTGCTGTCAAGTCCTTTCCAACACAGAGTGACACTTACAGGGCAGAGTAGAGCTGCTCCTTCCACAGCCTCATCTTTTCTCCCACAAAATTGAATGGATAGGCAAGTGTTATTCATAGCCACCAGATGGCGGAAGTGGATTATTCTGACAAATACACAGCTAAACGACAGTTGCGTGGACAAGGTTTGTTTTTGTTTGTTTGTTTGTTTGTTTTAAAGTGACTTTCTAATTTTAATTCTACACTGCATGTTTTTAATTCTACAATGCCTGTAATTCCTGTTTATGGCTCTCTGCAGTGCTATTAAAATGACTACACCCAAGATTTGCTATTGAGCCAACCACCACCAAGTTATTCTGTGGAGGGCAAGAAACTGTCTTCCTTCTAAACCCTAGGAGGCCCCATGTCTCTCTCTCAGGCCCAGGAGGAAGTTCAAGAAAAATTAATATTGGCACTTGCTGTTCTTCAGTTCTGCTATTAAGTCCCAACCTGACAAAGCACTGGAATATAAGAACTTATGAGCAGCTTAGTGTTTGCTGGTTGAATCTCTTAAAAATCTAATCAGGGATGACTTACTCCTCATAAGAAAGGGGTGAAAGTAATTGCATCAAAAAGGCACACATTGATCAAGCTCTCTAATGATGGGATAAGACCAAGCATTTAGTGAGAATGATCAGATCCCTCTGTCGTCATCCTGTTCCCTCAGAGCTCAACCAGCTTTCTGCAGTTCCACACATATGCACGCTGAGGGTCTCCTGTGGGTTAAGTTCATTCTAAGTGATTTGGGGTGGGGGGGGGAAACAAGAAGGTACAGTTCTTGCCCATGAGTTACTCTTGATTTGTGGTGGAAGACAGACTCATTAGGGACTAGTGATAAGGACACCCAGAGTGTTTGGCAAATGGCACAATGGAAAAGTAAAAGGAACGTGTGAAGGACGATTAGTGGAAGAGGATTTGGGGTACCAATTAAAGGGCAGTTTTAAAGCCAGCTTTAAGAGTGACATGACTAATAAATATGCCGAAGAGCTTTGGTGCCACAGTGGTTAAGAGCTTGGTTGCTAAAGGAAAGGTTGGTGGTTTGAACTTGCCAGCCGCTCGGGGGCCGGGGAAAATGATGCTGCAGCCTGTGTCTATAGTCACAGCCTTGGAGGGTCTTTGGGGCAGTTCTACCCTCCTACAGTGTCAGAACCAACCCACCAGTACCTGGCTTGGTTTTATTAAGATTGCCAGGCCGGCCGCCTTCTAGGGGCTACTGATCGCAACTTCATCTTCACAGTATGACAGGGAAGTAATAATAATAATAATAACCTGAGGAAAATGTTTGAGAAGCAGTCCTTAGGTGGCATTAGCTCTTTCATTCAAAGGGAAAAGGTAGAAGCCATACATATGTAGAAGAAAATAAAATGCAAAGTGTTGATTATTGTATTTCTCCATCTTCCTGATGACATTGGAATATTTTATTGGAATGTTACTACTTTGGCAAAATAGCATTTCTTTAAAGAGTATAGGCATTTGGGAACAAAGACATAAAATATGCAGGCACCATCTGTCTCTATAGCAAAAAACCTACAGGCCCAAACCGCCAGCTTGCCAACTTCTGATGCCCAATTTGGGGGACTCAAAAAAGAGGATTCTAATTTTTAAGCCCTTTTCCTAATTAGAATTTTTTATTGTGGTTTGAATGAAAGTTTACAGAGCAAATTGGTTTTCCCATTAAAAAATGCATACGCGTTGTGTTGTGTGACATTGATTGCAATTCCCACCATAGAGCAGCCCCTTCCCCACTTCCTCCCTGTGTTTACCACTTGCCTTTATCCTTCCTTCCCTTCCCTTCTAATTAGACTAATTTTAAGGCACTGAAAAGCAATCAGCCTAAGAAAAGGCTGTATCATTCACTTTGACTGATCTGAGCTCCGTGCCTATTTCTCAGTACTGTGAGACCAATTATATTGTTGTTTCGTCTTGGAGAGTCGAGTCTGACTCACAGTGACCCCAGCGACCCCAGAACAAAAACAGTGCTGAGTCCTGTGCCACCTAGACACCTAGGTTTGAACCCGGGGTGGCAGTTACTATGTCCATCCAACTCGTTGAGGGTCTTCCTTTCCCCGGCACGCTGTCCTTCTCCAGGGACATGTCTCGTGGATATCATGCCCAAAGTGAGTGAGATGAAGTCTCACCATGCGTGCTTCTGAGAGCCTTCTGACTATGCTGCTTCCAAGACAGATGTGCTTATTCTTCTGGCAGCTTCCACCAGCACCCTAACTCAAAGGCACCAATTCTTCTTTGGTCTTTCTTGTTCATTCCCCAGCTTTTGCATGTATATGAAATGATAGCTTGGCTCAGGCGCACCTTAATCCACAAGGTGTCACATTGCCTCTTTAACACTTTATAGAGGGCCTGTGCAGCAGATATGCCTCCTGCCATGTTATTTTCCTGGGGCACATGATGTGGTGAGGAGGAAGACAGTTCGGAGGCCTCACCCAAGTCCTGGCCCATGTACCCTAAGCTGCGGTTTGTGCCCCTAAGCAAGGTTCTGAATCTCTCTAAGCCTCCACTTCCTTGGGTGTGAAATGGAGACCTTGAACTGGTTCTCAGCCGGAGCAGGAGAGCCCCCTGCCTAGTGGGTGGTTTGGGTTGTTAGAATGAGTGGCCAGAGCCAAGGACAGGAGCCATCATCCCTTCCAAGCAGAAAATGAATGGTCTTAGGCAATGAAGTCTTCCAGGGCCCATTTATATTCAAATGTTCCAGCAGACATGCATGTAGGGCAAAAGCCTAGAACTTCATTCCAAATCAAAGCGAATTTTCTGTTCATTATAAACCAACTGTTTGTTGTGGCTCACGGTCCACATGTGCCAACTCTATCAGTGGTTATGGTCGGATCCTTCTGTCCACCAGCTCCCTCACGTCCCTAGCCTTGTTTGACCTGGCGTCTGGTGGTCTTTGCTCCACAGCCGGAACCTATTTTCGTAGGTGCAGGATCCTGACTGCTTCATCATGTCTTTTCATGTAGTGGTGTCTAGGCACTGGCATATTGAAATACTATTATAGTTTTAATAATTCCCTTGCAAGCTCTCTTTATTGTCTTATTAAGCTACAATACTATTTTAAAATTTATGTATTTATTATGGACTTAAATAGTACTCATAATATAGATATTCTATATTTACATATAAGATACTATAGTATATTATATATGATACACTAATATTATGTAATAAATTTTATTTCTATAATTTACAGAATATAATGAAATGTGATTATCATTATAATAATGCTATATCTGTAATATTATATATAATATACTTATATAAAATATGCTATATTAATATTACAAATATGTACCATAGGAGGGTAAGTCAAAAGTATTGCTATTGGATTCCAGCTCATACATGCACAGTTTATTCCAAGTAAAATGTGTGTAGATACATCTCTCCTATTATTGGATGGCTACAGACAAGTTCTCTCAGTAAGACACTTGTCTTCGTCTCTTAAGACAGGGCTTTCTACTTCTGTAAAGTGTTACTCTTGGAAACCCACAGGGATGGACAGTTCTAACCTGTCCTATAGGGTCGCTGTGAGTTGGCATCGACTCCATGGCAGTGAGTTTGGGGTTTGGGGTAGTCGCCTTAGAATCCCTTCCCCCCAAAACACCCATTGAAACAGTGGCTTTGGGGGGGGGGGGGATCTGCCGGGCCAGTTCCATTCAAGGCAGAGAGGTCAGCTCAGAAGGTGATGGTGGCTGTTTTGTGAGATTCCTAAGGAGTCATCTTGATAAAATTCTCCCTAAGGACACAGGATGATCACAAGGGTTTAGGATGAGGAAGTTTTCTGAAAAAATGGTGAGATAAAGGGCAGGAAAGCTGCTCCGGGAATTGTTTTCCACCACAACAATGTCCCTGCTCGTTGTCCAGGGCGGCCTGGGCTGGCCTAGGAGCAGTCTGTCAGGAAACCTTACCGCAGTGCACCCTACCGGCCTGATCTTAGCCCTTCAGACTCGTTTTCGTTCCCCAAACTAAAAAAGAAGAAGAAATCAGAGAAACCTGAATAGAAGCCCTCACGGATGCCCCAACTGGTATTTGGCTCTGGTATAAATGGTATAAAGCAAAGAGTGCAGGACTCTTCCCGGGAAAGCTTCGAAAAATGGAAGGAAGCACGGCCTGCAGCAGGGTACAAACCTAGCTAAAGGCACGCCCAGTAACCTTAGCTTTCCACTTCGAGGTTTGCTGAATCCAGGTTTCTATTCTTTCATAGCAATACTTTTGGACTGACCCTCGGCTACCGGCAGGTTCGATTAGCCGTGATTTTCTTTTCAGGTAGACAAAGGAGTGTTTCAAAGTCCTTGCTATCACAGCGGGGAGTGTTGGGGCTGACAAGACAGAGAGCCTCTGGAAGAGACCCCCTTGGGGTTCTCTCTGGTGCCACAAAGCCCACCCAGCCCAGGGGCAATCACCTCTGCGCAGGGCTTGCATGCTCTGCCTGGCATGGCGGTGTAGCTCCTCCACACAGGGCGGCCGGGTGGCTGGGACGAAGATGTTCCTCTGTTGGTGCCACGGGGCTCGGTAGTACACGCTCAGCTTACTCTCCACGTCCAGGTTGGAAACCGCTGCAAGAGAAAGCGATCCAGACATCAGTGTCTTGACATTGGGCTATTTTTCCCCTTCCTTCTGGGAGTTGGGCTGGGGGCTGGGGCCTGGGGGTGGAGTCTAAATGGCACCCAAGTGCTAAGTTCACTTTAAGGACTGAGCCCCCATTGGAGAAAGGTTGGAACTTGACAATAAAGATCTCTACTAGCTCAGTGGTAGTCCAGGGAGAGGGGGTTGGGGCAGCGCATCCTGCTTGCTAACAAAGCAGAGAAAAGTTCAAGGATAAGTCCAAAGGGCTGCCCTAGCTCTGGTCTTCAGACCACAAGCTCTCGGGGTCAGAGTTCTACCCCCGCTCCTGAGGCCCACTGGGGCTCGAGCACATCCCTGGCCTTCCCTGACCCAGTGTGTGGTCCCTGACTCCTGACCTCACGGTTGCTCCTCATACTGCCTTCCACCTCCCAACGTCACCGCCTGCCATCTTTCAAAGTGCTGCCTCGGTTTCCCCAGTTTCACCCAGGGGGAACACAGACATCCAAACAATCCTGTTGACGGGGCTGCGGGAGGTGGGGAGGAGTGTGGACCCCTGGACGCATCCGAAAGGCTTCCTTCCCCCAAAATGCTCCATTTACCTACTGCTGTCCTCTCCTTGAGACAGGGAGCCAAGCCATCTGAGAACAAACATGACCCCAGGAGAAGCAGACAAAATCTTAGGGATGCCAGCGCTGGGAAAGCAGACGGGTTCTGTTTGGGAAATGACTACACATAGAAATTCATTCACTCCTGGGCAGCCTGTCAGCCTCCCAAGGAGGTGAAAAAGCTGGGTCAGCCGTGCTCTCCAGACCTTCCTGGATGGCAGAAGGAGGCCCTCCCTGCCCCCTCCCTCTCATGGCCTCGTTCCACTTCTTGTCTGCTTCCCCCGATGTGCCATTTGGGGCTGCTGTGCTAACCAACTTGCCCCTATGCCCCAAACAAGCCTTCGGTTCCCCTCTTCCCCTTTGATTTGTGAAGTTCCAGCTACCATCTCGCTTGATTTAAGAAGCCTTACATGGATGACGGCACTCTACAGATAAAGAAAGCAGAGAGACACAAGAAAATGAAGGAAGGTTGGCTTTCTAGAAGGGAATAGAAGAAAGAAAACTTCAAAACACGCACAACCTTTCCACAAGTCACCCCCTGCCCCCAATACTGCATCAAGGACTGCTTATTTGGGGTTTTGGTTTGGAACACAACCTTCTGTAGTGTTTATTTTCTAGAATAATGTGTCATAAGCACAAGAATTAAAGATAGAAACACAGATTTATTTCCACGGCGATCCAGAGAGGCAGGTGCCTGAGTAGGGCTGGCTCTTTCTCTGCCCTAAGTTTTCCCCCCTGTCCATGGCGGTTTCCCATCATCTGATAGCAGCACTCCAGGGTTTCTCCACCCAGACACCTGCGACATTTGGGCTGGGTAGCATTTTTTTGTGGTGGGAGTGGTCCTGCACATTGATTGTATCTCTGGCCTCTCCCAGCTAGATTTAAGTAGGACATACGTTTCTCTAGTGACAGTGCAAAATGTCCCCAGACATTACCAAATGTCCCCTGGGGGAAAATTATACCAGCTTGGAAGCCATTAGGAAAATCGGAAGAAAATGCAGTTTTGACCGTTAGCTTTACATCTCCATGATCCCACTCCCATCTATCAAGAGGGGACCCCATCCACAGTAGTCTGCAGTGAGTTGAACAATTCACCACAAAATAAGGAGGTTTCAATACAGTCCCTGAACTTGAGGACATAGAAACAAATATTAATGTGGCACAATATAATGTGGCAAAGGCCATACATAGGCAGTTGGCTGAAGAGCGGCCCCGCAAAGACCCATGTCGTAATCCCTGTAACCTCTGAATGTTACCTTATATGACAAAAGGGACTTTGCAGATGTGATTAAGTTATGGATCTTGAGATGGGGATAATATCCCAAATTATCCAGACTGGGCCTACAGGAAGGGCATAGAATATGAATTAGACAGAGGTGACAGGGCAATGGAAACAGAGGGATCGTGAGGAAAGGCTACTAGTCTTAAAGATGGAAGAAGGAACCCACGAGCCAAGGGATGTGGGCAACCTCTGGAAGCTGGAAAAGGCAAAGAAACAAATTGTCCCACAGAGCCAGCCCTGCCAACATCTCGACTTCAGCCCAGTGAAACTTATTGCAGACTTTTGGCCTCCAGAACTGTGGAGGAATAAATGTGGGTTGTTTGAAGCCACGTGTTTGCAGTACTTTGTTACAGCAGCACCAGCAAAAGAGTGCGCCGTATGGTGATGAGAAGTCCAGAGCCTTAAATAAGGCCTGGTCATAAGATGGGTAGCTGAGATGCACTCCAAGTCCCAGGTATCCCAAGGTATTCCAGGAAGGGTATCACAAGGATGACCTTGATTTTTCTGGACCATGGAGGAAGAATAAGGGCTTCCAAGGAGGAAACAGAGATTGGTTTTGTCGATGGAGAGAATTGCCTGTGTAAAGGAACAAAGAGAGGGGTATGGCAAGCCTGTGGGCAGACCTAGAGCCAGGGGTAAAGGGGTATTGTCTCAGATACATAAGTACAAAGATGCTGAAGAAATGGCACATGGACAGGGTCCATCTACTGTCTGACAGAACCTTCTGGGGGTAATGGGAAAGCTCTATAGCTGTGCTGTCCAACACTGGGGCCACTAGCTGTATTAACTATTGAGCACTAGTGAGAAGGAAATGGAATTTCTCATTTTCTTTCATTGAAAATTTAAGATAGCTCATTGTAGCTAGTAGCCCCATTATATTGGACCGCTTAGCTCCAAAGTAAGCAGATGGTGATTTTTATTGTTCATTGCCAGGGAGCCCATTTCGAATGGGGGCAACCCCACATGTACAGATCCCTTCACCGTGATATTCTAATCCCTACAGGACAGATTACTCCCTTTGATTGATGTCTACTCATTTCCAATGTTCAGAAAGAATTAAAATGCAAGGGTTACAAGTCCCAGGATATCGCCCTGGAGAGAGGAGAGCATTTTGGGGGGTCAACTAGTCAGGGCTCCTCAATCTTTGTATGGCAAGGAGCTCAGCTCCTTCTCATTAGCTCAGTGTTGATCAGAGGAAGACTTGACAGATTCCCTCAACCAGAATTTCCAGCAGAGAGGCCTGGTAGTCAGCCTATTTGATGAGTGACCCCCAGGTTCATATCTTTTTCAATCATCAGGCACGTTTGAGAAACATACAATGTGCCGATCTGATGTACTTTGGTTCTGGGTGATGACTGGGTTGTGGTTGTACCTGGACGTCATGGATTGGGAGAGATGGCCTATAGAAATGAAACACTCGATATCATTTCTCTGTGATTCCCTAGGAGTGAGCCAAGCCCTCTGGACTCTGGAAACCCCAGTCACTTCAAGATTAAAGCCCTCAGTTCTCCATCCTTGCCCTTCTGTAAAAGGTAATTCTGGAGACTAAATCAACATCCCATGCAATCATGGTAGAGAAATTCAGCAAATTTCGCTTTTCTTATCATTAAATATTATATCAGGTTATTTGAGGGGGAGCTTTTTTTTGGGGGGTGCCTCTGCTTTGCTGGCACCCTAAACATATTCTTACTGTGCCAAGTGGGCCATCTAACGCTGAGTTTCTGCATGGTTGAGCCCCGTGGCTGCTCAGGCCTGTGGGTTCCGAGGTGCAGAGACAGGCACATGCATTCTGACACAAGCAGCCAAGTCACCATGCCTGCGATGAGCTCCACCACCCCCCCACCCCACCCCCGGTGACAGCCTTCAGGGTGAGGAACCCTCATGTCTCCCCCTTCAAAATCGGTTTCTTGATCTGCTTAGCGGCTGTAACGGGTTTCGGCCATGCATTAGCAGGTGAACATTTCACTCATCAGTAGCCACCATAGTGTTTATCGCTTAGACAGGGAAGGAAAGGCAAACTCTTTCACGCCTCTGCCCTCTTGGCTATTGACTATTCACTAGTCATATGTGTCCACTGGAGGCAGACAGAGAGGCCCGAATGGAGCTCTTCCAAGGAAAACCGTCTCATTTTCCTTCTTCAAAAGAAAACGATTCCTTCTCCCAAATAACAGCTCAAGCTAAGTTGCAGCCCATCAGACCCAAGCTCGTAGCACTATTGCCATTGCGAAGCTGACTGCATTCCCAACTTGCTACGTCCCCCTTTACACAGTTTCATTGCGCATGAGCAGGCTGAGGGCCCCCGGTCATGTTTGTTCTCATAAAAATGGCACGAGGGCCATGTCTGGGGCTATCTCCTCTGCTTATGTCAGTCCATTCAAGGGCCTCTCTATGATAGGCAGAATTCTAAGCTGTCCCCCAAGATTCCTGACCCCTCGTGTACACACCCTGTAGAATGTTCTTCCCTGTAGTGTCTGTGGGGCCTGTGGATGCTGTTATGCCACATAGCAAAAGAGATTTTGAGGATCCTCCTCTGTCACTTGCCTTGCTTGTATTTGTCACCTTCCCCCCACTGTTCCTGCTCCCCAAAGAAGGGGCAGATGTTGCTAGAGAGTCCAAGGGGCAGTAGGATTACCAATCCCATTTCTATCCTTAATAGGCAGGAAAAGGTTATGTCCTCATATCCCTTCTACCCTCCAAGCCTGTACGCTCTTACAGAGGCTAGGCGCATGATGTTCATCATATGAAGGGAACCTTACACAACCCCAAAAGGAAAGTATTATCCCCAGTTTATAGCGAAGGAAATGGAGACGCTGAGAAAGTACATACATTTCCACAAACACACACCTGGTGAGAGGAGATCTTGGATTAGAAACCTTACCTGCTGGGCTTCTAAGCCACTGATCTGGCCCAACTCAATATTGACATGAGCGTGCTTAAGCTCAGGCTGATAAAGTGGTTCCATGCGCCACATTAAAAAAAAATCTGGTGTTGGTGGTGCTGTGGAGTTGATTTTGAATCAGTGCTCCAATCTGATCAAGTAGAATTGTCCTATGGGGTTTCCTAGGAGTCGATTGCCAGGTCTTTCTCCCATGGAGCCACTGGA